CAGGGGGTTGGACTGGGTGACCCACAGAGGTCCCTTCCAACCCCGAACATTCTGTGAAAAGCAGGGAAGGACCTGCGCTAAACTGACACTTGGAAAATCGTTAGCTACATCCTCCAGTTCAAGAAACTGAGGGCATGAACAGCAGCATTAATAGATATGCATATTTATTAAGCCCCTTTCTGAGGGTTACGGTTAAAAAAGGGAGAGGTGTGCGCACGCCGGGCGGGTGCCAGCCTGGGGCTCGCAGCGTTTTTAAGCCTGAGGGCGGATGGAAGCTGGTTAGAGGGTTGGCAAGAAACCACGTTGCTCACCAGTGTCTGTCATGGCTCAAAAGGCTTAAGCAGAGCCGAAAGCCAGGCCAGCGCTAAGAGCTCTGAAATAATCTATGATGTGTGACACCAAGAGTAGCTGGGGTGGGTTCAAAGAGCTGCTGACTTTTCCTGCTCGTAGCATCCTTCGTTATCCCCGCGGCACCTCGTGAAACCGCGTGAATTGACTCATAGGTCAGTAAAAATGCTCGTGGTTGAGTAAAAAGTGGTCTGGTGGACTCCAGCGTTGCGTTATCTCAGGAAAAGAAGTGGAACTAATTTTTATAGGTTGCGCTGGATGATTTCTAATTGTTCCTGGCCATCCTGCAGAGTTCGTTATTCCTCCTCCAGCCGACACCGGCTTCTAATTAGGAGATGTAAAATTAAGCTGGAAGAGCAGCAGTGTGCAAGGGTATTGCTGCTCAGGAAGGAATCTGGGCTGGGTTTAAGCCGAAAATATCCTCTTGTTTGCAAGTTTTGGTGGGGAGGGGATGGCTTAAACGCTGGGGGGTACCAGCTGCTGCGTAGAAGAGGGAGGACGAATTGCCCCCCTGAAAGGCAGTTAGCTCCTGTCCTCCTTGCTCATTCCTCTGCATCTCTTGTTTGTTCAACGGGCACAAATATTTCCTAAACCAGAGTTTTTCCTACAGCAAACTCAGGGTGGCTTTTATCCCCCCGGCCATGCGACCGTGGCTGGGTGCGAGCAGGCACAGGAGGGGCTCTGGCCGGTGCCACTGCTGGGCTCAGCCCTGGGGATGCATTTGAAAGGATTTATCAGGTTTTTTTCCAATATTTCCCCCCCCCCTTTTTTTTTTATTTTTAATGCTAATTTTTTTTTTTCCCAAGAGGATGATGTGACATCTGCAGAGCCCCGTTACGGAGCTGCTTTTGGGGTACAACCGCAAAGCCAAGAGCTGAAACAGCTTGGCCAAGACCTTCTTAAATCCATCTGTTTCCCCGTCAGGATGCACCACAGCTTTAGGAAACGTAACACTGCTCTGAAAACAATCCCGGGTCCTCCCTGACGTCCTTCCCTTCCTTCTGGAAGATGTCTCTGTAGTTATTTAACGGGAAGGGAACCATTTCTTCACCGTAAGCTGTCCCCTCGCGTCCCTGCGCAGCGTGGTGCTGGCGTTACGTGGCGGTGGAACAAACCGCTTGCAGGAACGGGAACGATTTCGATGCTGCAGAGATCCACGGGTTTTTGCCCTCCTCCATCAGCCGCGTGTGGCACCAGCTGCTTTCTACAGGTGCTTAATAAATGCAAACGAGCTCTGGTGTTTTTCGCTCCCCTCCTTTTATAACCTTGCTACTTGCTGGGTTTTCATCCCACTTCTGGTCAGCAGAGATGGCTTTCATGGCAGGTTTTCCCTCGGGCTTTAGCTGGGAATTAAACCTGGCTTAACTTTTACAGCACGGTAGGACTGGCTGGGGTGGTTTTTTTTCTGCCAAGAGTCATTTATGTTAGGAGACAACACGTGGAGGAGCTGTGAGTGGTTTTGATTAACTCCTACCAGTGGAAAAAGGGGGTTAGGGAGCTGCGTGTTGGAGCTTTAGGAGGGAAAGCAATAAAAATTATTAATTTCCCGGGATTTTTTTACAGATAGAAGATACTCCATTTTGAAAGAAATATTAAAAAGTTTTTGCTTCAGTCTTATATGGGGTGGAAGGTCATTTTCACCCCTCTACCCTCAGATTTCCCCGGAGCAGAAAATCTGCTTTTCATTTCGCGTACCTCGCGATGAAGCTTACGGCCGCTGATTTTGAGAAATTGGTGTCTTTCCGCCGAATTTGCTCTCGCCTCTGTGGGCCCTTGCTCACAGACCGGTGCAGGATGCTTTGTTAGCCGTCACGATGTGAACCCCACATCTGTACCCAGGGGAGCGTTGAAAACAGCGGCGTCGGCTGGGGTTTGACGCCCACCAGAAGAGCCCTTCCCGTAGTGCTGGATCCAGAACTCGTCCCAGTTATCCCAGCGGGCGATGAGACACGGCTCCGCTCAGCGACGGCTAAATCCAGAGATATTTTCTGTCTCCGTTGTCAGGAGACGGCCCCCATGAAGTTCAAGTAATTTCATGGAGAGGAACTGTGATAAAACATTAACCAAGTGTTTTATATCCTAAATCCGTACATTAAAATACATTAACTGCATTTATGGTTTGTCCTGCAGTTTAGTGGCTTTGTGAGTGATGGAATTTGAATTTTGTTAAGCCAACAGAGCAATCTTTTCATGTATTTTTCATTAGAAGAGACAAAAATCGTTTGTCCATTTCCATCTAAATACCATGTATTACCCTACTAAACAACAGACCTGAGAAGATATAGAATCATAGAATGGTCAGGGTTGGAAGGGAGCTTGAAGATCATCTGGTTCCAACCCCCCTGCCATGAGCAGGGACATCTTCC